AAAAAATCTGCTCCACATTTACTTGCTATCTCACCTCAAGAACTAACAGAGGTTTCCACCATATGTAGTAATCCGTCCCAGTCCCCCCCATATATTACATTTTATTTGCTTTCTTTTTCGAAAACAGGAAATTGGAGGTTACTGAAGATTGTAAGAAGCACATCAACAAGACCGGCTGGGCCAGAGCTTGTAGTTTAGGCTGTCCCTGTAGTGACAACAAATAGGCTTCCCTGGGCTCTGGTGTGGAAAGACCCGGAAGCAGAGTTTAGACACTGGGTTTACCTTGTGTCTCAATGTTGTAAATATTACCACCCACAGAGTAAGGGCCCAGGCAGAGTACAAGAGTTACTGTAGCGGAACAAAGACGTGGAGAATGGACTTGAGGACACGGGGAGGGGTAAGGGTAAGTTGGGACGAAGTGAGAGAGTGGCATGGACATAAATACACTACCAAATGTAAAACAGATAGCTAGTGGGAAGCAGCCGCATAGCACAGGGAGATCAGCTCGGTGCTTTGTGACCACCTAGAGGGGTGGCATAGGGAGGGTGGGCGGGAGACGCAAGAGGGAGGAGATATGGGGATATATGTATATGTATAGCTGATTCACTTCATTGTATAGCAGAAACTGGCACACCACTGTAAAGCAATTATACTCCAATAAAGATGTTAAAAAAAATAAAGGCTATCCCGGCAATAAATCCTCTCCAGGGCAAGGCTGTAACCAAGCTAAGCAAGAGAAGTTACAGTTGACTTCACAACTGGATTAGTATATGTTTCCCCAACTCTTCTATCATCATGTGTGTCAGAGCTTGCCCAGAGAGCAGGGAACCCTCTGTGTCGCCAAACCAAATCCTCCCAAACCGCACTAGGAATCTGGCTCATTCTTTCAGTAAAAACGGCTGTTCTCAAACTTTAGCTGTGCATCAGACTCTCCTGAAAGGCACTTTAAGATGTGGATTGCTGGGCCCCAAACGCAGAGATTCTGCTTTAGTAGTTCTGGGGTGGGATCTAAGTATTTGGGTTTCTAATGAGTTTCCAGGTGAATCTGATGCTTCTGGTTCGGGGACCACACTTTGAGAAGTACTGTGCTGAAACTGCCCCTATAACATTTGGTAATTAGTGGGGAATTTCACCCAGTTGTTAATACCCTAGACCAGCCTTGAGATGTCAGTTGAACTCTTGCTATCAGGAGAGCAGGGTCAGGCCAGGCATGGAACACTAAAAGGGTGGGAGTGCCTCTCCTGGCCAGGCTGCACCGGCTGCCTGTTCAGTCACATTGATCCCAGCACCCTAAACTGAGGAGTGGTGGGTCTAGCAGGTATCAGTGGGAGTAGATGTGGATGCATTTGTGAACATCTTCATTTCTCTGCAGAGATGACACTACTGACCACCCGTGTCAGGACAGATGGCAGTGGTTCTGCCAGTAACAATCAAATCTGACATTAATTCAGCTTCATGGTGGGCACAGTGGGCAGGGAGCAAGCAGACAGGTCAGCACCTGACTCTAGGCTCTGCAAGTGAAGAGCTGGGTGACCTGGGTGGGTTTCCTAACTTCTCAAAACCTTGCTTGGCAAAGGGGGATTCATCTCAGGGGTAAACCAGTGAGGTAGGTTAATATTTAGAAATGTCTTCACGGAGATATCTCATCCCTGCACTGTTTCCTCATCGCTCTTCTTCCCTCCAGTGTTAAGCCCGAGTAACTTTTGCTTCAGGGTGAGGACTGATGCAAGAACAGTCCTCCTCCAAGTGCAGCTGGGTGGGCTGGCAGAATCCGCATCACCTGGGTCTGCACCCCAGACCTGCTGAATCTGAATCTCTGGCAGGGAGGCCCAGGATTCTGAATTTCAATACACAGAATTTTCAGGTTATTGCATGGCTAAAGTTTGAGAAGCTCTGGTCTAGAGCAAATAAATATTAATGTAGAGGCTTCAAAATCCATAGCTGAGACCACAGCCCTCCCAAAAGCCAATATGCATATATGTGTGGCAAGTTGGGAGAGAAAGGGTTTTGTTTGGAAGACAAAGCTCGGGAAACTGAGCCCAGAGGTTATGTTCTAAGCCACGGTATCTGGAAGACTTTATGATGGCATCGTAGCCCTCTTTACATCCAAAAGGAAGACCAGTTTGATCAGCAGCAAGGAGAGAGGATGAGAAAGGGCTGAGATTAGATCTTAAAGGATCTACAGGGTTTTCAGTCTTCTTCTGAGTGGCCTCACGAGACCCCAGCTTGAAAAGGCGTATTATGTCGGTCAGACTCTCTCAGAAGCTTAAAGTAAGAGACAAGGGTGACAGCCAGCAGAGAAGTCAGGGCCGTCATAGGGCCACTTACACCCCAAGTTACTGAGGGAGTAGAGATGGAGAGAAGCTAGTCAGGAGAGAGAAAGGGGACCTGAGCAGAAAGCCAGGAAGAAGCCGAGGTGTGGGCGACAGCTTGTGTCCAGAGCCAGTAGGATTACTGTTATGAGCTCAGAGCCCTGGGAAGGGGTGAGGGCCGCTCAGAGGCAAAGCATCAGAGGGCACAGTCATCATCCATCTCCTGATCGTGGGCAGACAGTTTGGTCTGTGCCTCATCTGACTGGTCTGAGGGTCCCTCCTTCAGGCCTGCCCTTGACCGTGCCCCGAGCAGACCCTGGAGAAGGTTCATTTGGGGTGGTCCCCTGTGGACCTCTGGCTACAGAGGAGCTGGCACTAAGGAGGGGAAGGGGCTGGGAGGTGTCTGGGCTGCACTGCCCTGCAGTGTTGGGCAATCTGGGTGTGTCCCGAGGTTCCTGGAAAGTTGGCTCATGACCTTCACCAAAAACAACCTGAGACACCCATGGTGAGGTCAGCTTCAGTTTAAGCTGCTTCGCACACATGCACAAAAAAAAATTCTTTTTCCTCTTGACCGGAAAACTTACACTTAAAAACTTGAGCGTGTTGTTGGGTGAGGCCTATGCAGCCAGGAGATGTGGGTTTCCTCTTGCTCTGAAGGACCTTGGGGAAATGACCCGTGAACAGTCAGTATGTGCTGGCACCTTGTTAAGCAAACCCTGGAATGTGGTCCATAATGTATGGGTGGGTGGGTGGATTGATGTGCAAACCTCTTCCTCAAAGGAGCCTTCCAGGACCCCCGGACAGGCCCTCTTGCCTGCACTTCCATAGTCCTGTGACCCTCTCCTTTAATAACTTTTTCACGGTGTCATTCTATACGCATTTGGGAAATTAATTTCTTCCTGCACAAATCTGGAGCGCCGTCCGGATTTTTCACTCATCATTGGATCACTAACTGCTGGTGTGTGCCTGGCGTGTAGTAGGCACTCATCATATCTATTTGTTGGTACAAGTATGCCAGAGTTCAGTAACGGCATGAGTCTTTGTGAAAGGATTCATCACTGGGTTGAATCATCCAGAAAACATTTAAGGAGCATCCATCCCATGCCATGTACCATGCTAGGTGATACGGGGAGAGGGCTTATACAAAGGTAAAGAAAACAGGGGCTCTGTCCTTAAAAATAAGCACAGGCTGGGGGTAAGGCCCACCCTCCGCTGTGGCTGCTCTGGTGTCTTACCCTGTTGTTCTCCTTGAGGAGGAAGCTCTTTCCCACCTGGTCACGGTGGGGGGTTAGTCACAGAGCATATCCTAGCCCCCCAAATTAGAGGAACAGATGTGGCCATCCTAAGTGAGGGCCTTGCATGGTCAGACAGTCCATGAATCATCTAGATCTAGGATTAGAGAGGCAGGAAGTTGGGCACTGGGACAGACTTCAGAGATGGCCCACAAGTCTGCTCACCCTGGACCCCCAGACACAAACCAGTGCTTTGCACATAGCCATACTCAATAAATATTTGTTAAATAAAGGAGTTGGAAGGGGATCCTTGGGCAATGTTAAGACTTGTTTCCTAATTTAGCTCTGGAGTAAATCCAGAGTCCATGTACTGATTTTATTTAGCAATTTATGGCTTTTTTGAGTGTCTACTAATGTGCAGGGCTCTATGAATTTGAAGATAAAGACATAATTGCTGTCACTGAGGAGTTGAGAGTCTGGTGGGGACACAGATTCATGACCTTGTATTTTCTTTATTATCTATAAAGTTAGCACAGAAGCACTCCAGGCATGAGGAGGAGGGAGGGTTGGGAGGAGAGAAGGGGAGGTGGGAGGGGGGAGGGGAGGAGGGGAGGAGGGGAGGAGGGGGAAGAGGAGGAAAGCATCCGCACAGAGGATGGGAGATGACCTCTGAGGTGGAGAAGCAGGGAAGGGTGTTCAAGGCAAAGGGAACAGCACCTGTAAAGCCAAAGAGGGCTGGAGGGGTGTGGTGCAACCTGAGGATGGTGTGACAACGCAGGAAGGAGCGTGGGGTCCATGGTGGTGGGAGATGAGGCTGGACAGGCAGGTTGTAGTCCGACTGGGAAGGGCTTCAGGGCCGGGCTAAGAGGTTGGAGCTTTATCCTGTCAGGCGGGTAGAGACCCATCATATTTGTGAGCCAGGAAGGGAAACAGGGCACACCTGTGCTTGGTTTCCTTCCTTAAGGCAGTAAGGCAGCCACTCCCCGTCCAGGTGAGTCCCGCCTCAGAGTCACTGTCACTCAGAGTCACTCAGCCCCTGCTCTAGGTCCCTACCTGGGAGAGCCTGTCAGGTTGGGTCCAGCTTTGCCCCACTTCCGGGTCAGAGGGGCAGATGAACAGGTGGGTGTGGAGGAAGGTGCGGGGGCGGGGGCGGGGGTTGGCCATGAGGCTTGTGAGTTTCATTCACTGGAGGCATAACTTTCAGGTTCAAACCATTTGGAGAAGCTGGGGCAGCCTACCCCAGACAGGTGGGCAGCAGGGCTTAGCGAAGGGGCCCCAGGCTGAGTGAGGGCCAGGAGACTGCCTTTCTTATTCGTTTGTTTGAAAGCACGCTTGCCCTTACCGGCTGTGGTACCTTGGTCATTAATTCCCTCTCAGGAGCTCAGCTTCCTCAGCTGTTAAGTGAAGGGGGCCGACCAGGTGATCTTCCAGCTCCGTGATTCCGAGGGAGGAGGAAGCTGCGGGAGCAGCGTGGGACTCTGAGCATAAGCTGCTGGAGGTGGGCGACTCCCAGGCAGAACAAAGCCTCTTCTAGAGGGACAGGCGGGTTTTGCAAGCGGGTGAGTGACAGGGCTCGCCTCCCTACCCTACCTCGGCTGCTCCTGGACCGGCTGCCACCACGGGACTTCGGCGGTGGGAGTGGAGTTTCTCCCCAAGACGCAGCAGAGGGGAGTCCAGCCGGCTCGGCCAGGCTGCTCCGGGGTGCAAGAGCGCTAGGTTGCAAGAGGGTCCAGCTGCTCCAGCCCCCTTGGGGTTCCCCTCCTTTCCCGGTGCTCCTCTCTCCCCGGGGCAATGAGTAGCCCACAGGAGCTAAGCCCAGGGGCAGACACCGGGCTCCGGGGCAGGATGGTGGGTGACAGCAGGAAGTTAGCAGGGGCTTCGGGGCCAAGAGCCCGCGGGAAAGATGGGTACGCCCCCTCCCCCCACCCCGGAAAAGCCAGCTTGACCGAGGGCGCCCCTCGCCCTACAGCCACCCTCACCACGCCGCCCCGCCTCCTCCGCAGCCCACCCCTCTCACTCTCACAGTCGCCTGAAAGCTCTCATCTTCACAAGCGTCCTTGTTTTAAAAAACATTTCTGTTTCCTTTATTTGCACTCAGCTCCAGCCTTCATAAATATGCGAATTCGATGTAAATAATTTTTTTTTTTTTTTTTTTTTTTGGTACTGGGGCCTCTCACTGTTGGGGCCTCTCCCGTTGCCGAGCACAGGCTCCGGACGCGCAGGCTCAGCGGCCATGGCTCACGGGCCCAGCCACTCCGCGGCATGTGGGGTCTTCCCGGACCGGGGCACGAACCCGTGTCCCTCATCGGCAGGCGGACTCTCAACCACTGGGCCACCAGGGAAGCCCGATGTAAATAATTTTATAATGAAAAAAATTTTAAATGCATTCACACGTGGATCAAGAGAGACCTAGTGGTCATTCGCAGGAGCCCTGTGCTGGGCCTGGGGGACACAAGCCTGTACTCAGCGTCCTCACAGGTGTGAGACCCGCCACGGAACCACAGGGGGGTTCAGGGAAGACTCCCAAGAGGAGGGAACCTTGACCTGAGACCTGGGGGGTTACAGAGATCTGGCCAGTTGAAGGAGAGAGGGCATCTCAGGAGAGGGAATGGCGTAGGCAAGGCCGGCAGGCAGGCCCCGCGAGGAGTCGTGGTCAAAGCAGGGAGCTGAGGAGGAAATGTTCCTTTTCCTGCCCTCATCACAATTGTAATCAATTATTTGTATAAGTATCTGCTTGAGATCTGTATCGCCTGCGAGGTTACAAGCTCCAGGAGAGGAAATGCTGTACATTATATTTTCTCAGGATTCTGGTGCCCAGCACAATGCCTGACACACAGTAAGTGTTCAATTAAATTGGCGTTAAGTGAACGAGTAAATGAGAATTCTCATGTTAATGTGGGTTGTGTCAGTAAGGGCTGAGAAGCCAAGCTAACTAGAGTTTGGGTGTTATCCTAAGGGCAATAGGGATCCACTAAAAGTTTTACATAAGGGCATGACTTGGTCAGCTGTGTGTCCCAGGAATCCCTTTTTGGCTTTGGTCTGGAGAATGGCTGGAGACAGAGTCCAGGTGGCAGAGACATTGTCCTTACCTCGGGGCATTGTTATGATTTTATTACTTCTTTATGTGACTCTCCCCTAAGTAAGCCGTGAGGCCTGGAGGGCCGGGGCCGGGTCTGGGCCCTGTTCACCTCTGCATCCCCGTACCCAGTACACTGGCCAGCACGGCACGTGGTAACTGCTCAGTGGGTGTTTAATGGCTGAAATTCTGATTGGAATTTGCTTATGCAACTTTAAGGGTAGGTGATGTTGTTTAATACATGCAATGTCATAGGCAACTTTCAAAACATGCGGAACATGAAAGAAAAAGTCATTTAAGTTTGGGAAGCTGTGATCAGAGGTCTGGGAGGCAGGGTGGGGGAGGAGGAGGGGTGTAGGGTGATGGAGAGGCTCCTCTGAGCTGTGACAGTTGTTGGACCTATGAGGCCTTCTAGGTTTGGCATCTGCCTGAGATGGGAGCCCGTGGAGAGCAGCAGGTTTGGAGGACTAGGTGAAAAGTTGGGTGCCTGTGGGACATCCAGCTCCAGATTGGGGTGTCTCTAGCAATAGAAGATTCTGGAAGCCTTAGGGGTGAATGTATGGCAGGATATGGGGAGGAGGGCTGGGATGCCCTGGAGAGAACTTTTAAGTAGGGGGCCGAGGACTGAGGGAGTCAGGGGGGATGGAGAAGCACTGGGAGCTCCTACCTCAGGACCGTGAGCCTGTGACTTCTCTGTTCCCTCCAACCTTGTTCTTACCATCCCATTATAACAGCCCCGGACAGGCATCAGCACTGCAGAGCCTTCGGTGAAACCCAGCTCCACGGGGCTCAACTTCTGTGTGTTCTGGGCTCACCTCCCTTTTTTTTTTTTTTTTGCGGTACGCGGACCTCTCACTGCTGTGGCCTCTCCCGTTGCGGAGCACAGGCTCCAGACGCGCAGGCTCAGCGGCCATGGCTTACGGGCCCAGCGGCTCCGCGGCATGTGGGACCTTCCCGGACCGGGGCACAAACCCGTGTCCCCTGCATCGGACTCTCAACCACTGCGCCACCAGGGAAGCCCCTCCCCTCCCTTTTGTGGTCACAAGAATGCCACATTCTGTGTTTCCCCTTTGTCTTCGCAAGGCTGCCTCCTGGACATTACACTTTCCTCCACTCAGTGGCTTATCTCATTTCTGCTTGTCACCCTCCTCATGCTCTTGGCTTTCCTCCCCTGAGTTCCTCCAGATAGCCCTGCCCACCCCCCAGTGAGCCAGGCTCTCCACCGCTGTGTCCTGGGGGAACCAAGGGTGTTTTCCAGTTTCTATCCGCTTCCTCCCCTTCCCTCCTCCCTCATCTGCCTGAGAAAAGGTCCTGCACTGGCAGCAGTGGGTGGAAAACCCAGGGCCAGCTCCCCTCCCAGCCACTGCACATCCAGGTCCCCCAGCTGCAGCAGGGCTCTGGCCAACGTATTACAGGCACTGGGGGCGGAAAGCCCTGATAGGTCACATTTCCTGATTTCCGCAGTGTAAATATTCCCACCGTGACCTATTTCAAGCTACCAACAGGATGTCACTGAATACAGAATTGGGAAGAGATGGGCAGTAGTACACTGTCACATAATATTTCCAGCAAGCAAACACAATAGGCATAGACAGCCTCAAAAGCAAATATAATTACAAAATGCAGTAAAATAGGAAGTTTTGAGTATTTGCTGCTTCTTAAAAATATAACTTATTCTCTTGTAAGATTTTGTAATTTAATTGTTAAAATAATGGCTGTCTTAACAACTGCTTTGCAAAATTCCTGAAAACTTAACAATTGGCTCTTGCAAGCAGTACAAACCAGCTCCAGCAAACCAGAGTGCCACCTGGGCCAGGAGAAAAGGGGGAGATTCCAAGCCCCAAACTTCAGTGCATTCTCGCCTGGCATCCTCTCCCTGCCCAGGCCATGTGGGTGCCAGTGTGGGTGGCATGTGACAGGTACCAAGCCTCTGAATCCCCAGTTAAAGTCAGACCCAGGAGGAGCAGAGCTGGGCCCTGGGCACCTCTCCCACCCACAGATGTGTGCTTTCTGTGCCCGCCCAGGCCCCAGCCTCTGGACACCCACCCTGGCAGCCCCCAGAGCCAGGAAGTTCGAGTGGCACAATTTCCTTCACCCTGAAAAGTGTGAAATCCTGTGAGGTTTGGAACTTCCATATTTCTCAGAAAGCAAGCTTGCCCAATCACCTGCAATGAAGAAAACAAAAGAAGACAAAGCCTCTCTTTCTGAGCCTCTCTTTATATCCATGGGCTGCAAGGCAGGTCATGCTGGGTCTGAACAGATGTGGGACAGAGAGAGCTTCGGGGGTGCAACTCAACCTTCGGGCATTTCTGAACAATGAGAATGAAAACCACCAGAGACATGTTCTAAATGGGCCAGTCTTTGTCCCCCTTTGTGGGGACATCAGACGTGGTGACCCACTGTGGTGGAAACCTTGTGTTGGCTACTGCAGGAAGTAAGCTGAATCTCTGGTTTGATGTTCCTGTGTTCTTGCCAATCACCATTGTGAAAGTTGGAGAAAAGGGGTCACCTTCTCACCACACCCCAGATATGCCTCGGTCCTCGGTTTATGTCTTTCTGTAACTAAAGGTGCCTTCCCCTTGCTCATAATCACAGCCCACCACAAGTCAACCCATCGCACCCGCCCCCTCCAGCTCTTGGAGTTGCACCTCTATTTGTAGCGTTTCCACATTCTCCCTTGGGGTCCTCCTTTGAGTGTAGGTTTATGTGCTCTGATTTCTAAGCTCAGGAAAGCCAGGACCTTGTCATTCACTCACTCGTTCATTACTTCATTCAGTGGGGAGCGGGCATAGGGAGGAGGGAGGAGGACGGAAAGTCTGTCCACCTCTGAGTGGGGCGCAGCTCAGGGAAGCCTGCACCCTGAGTGGAGGCGGAAGGAGGGGCAGAGGGAGGCAGGAACTGAGACCAAACCCCTCTTCCCCTCTCAGACCTTGTGCTAGTGGGTACCTGCCTTTTGTAAACAGTAAAACAGTGTCTAAATGCTAGGCGTGGCAGTTATTCGTTTTCTTCCGCCTGCAGGTTGCTCTCAGAAGGTGTTTCCATGGATTCCACTTGGTGCCCCGCCCATCACCGGACAGCCTCGCCAGTCTTTCCTGCCTTGTGGTAAAGACCTTTTTATTCCTTTATTCAGAACAAAAAACATTAATGTATTGTTCCCACCAAAAGACCCAGTTCCAGCTGTATTCCATCTAGCTGTATGATGGTTTAAAGTTTGATTTCTCATTCTTTAATACTTGCTAAATTTTGGGAAATTTAGTTGAAAGTCAGGCACAGCCGGTGGAAGGCTCAGGAGCAAGGCTAGGGCGCCATCTACTGGTAACTCCTAAGTATGACAAAATGGAACTTGCATTGAGCCTCTTGCACAGGTGAAAATGAGTTATTTTTTATTTTATTTTTTAAATTGAAGTATAGTTGATTTACAATGTTGTGTTGGAAATGAGTTGATTTAAAGGTTTAAAACGGAAAAGGTGTGTGCAACAACACATGCAAATAACAAAGAGTTTGTGCCAGAATCTGTAAATAACTCTTACAAGTTAATATAAAAAAACCTCAATAGAAAAATGAGCATAAGACTTAAAGGGGCACTTTATACAAGAGAATATCCAGTGCACGATGAATTTATGAAAGATGGTCGACTTTTCATTCTTGGAGACTCTTGGAAGAGGAAGAGAGGTAAAGGAGGGCCTAGATATAGGGGAAGCCTGAATACTTAGACCAAAAAAACCCCAACTTCCCAGGTAATTCAGATTTTAACCACGAGGGGGCGTACTTTCACTTTAATTTAATCAGGGAAAGGCAAATTGAAACCACAATGAGGTATCATCACCATTTACCCTCCAGAATGGCTAAAATTAAAAGACTAACAACGCCAAGCTGGCAAAAATGTGGGGCAATGGGTATTCTCATACACTGCTATGGGGAGTGCAAACCAGTACAATTTTGAAAAATTGTTCTGCATTATCTAAAAAAGTTGAACAATGGCTTACTCTGTAGCCTAGCAACCTGACTCCTTGGTATACACCACAAAAAATGTGTGCCCATGTACACCAAGAGGCATACAGGATTGTTAACAGCATAACTGGTAATAGCCAAGAACTGGAAACAGTGCAAATGCCCATGAAAATAGGCTGGATAAATAAATCGTAGTATATTAATGCAATGGAATATCTAACAGCAAAACAAACAAAAGCAAATAAAAAACTGCAGCTACACACAGTAACAACATAAATGAATTTTACAAACATTATGTTGAGTAAAAGAAGTTAGAGATAAAACAATGCCTACTATGTGATAATGATTATATAAAAGTCAAACAGGCAAATCATTTTATAGTGTTAGGTGTCAGGATGATGGTGTGTGGAGGATGCAGCCAGAAGCTGCCTGCACCACTTGACCTGGTGGTTATATGGGTGTGTTCACATTGTGATCATTTATCTTTGATTTGAGCACTTAAAAAATACACTTAACACTTCAGTTATAAAAATAAAAAATAAAAAAGTGAAAGGTGGAAGGGTAGAGTGGGATTCCTAACCAGGAGAATATAGGCAAGAGTAGGGAAGGAAGGTATAAGAAACTCAGGAAAGGGGAAAAGCAGGTGCTGACTACAAAAAATCTCCAGGTAATTCAGATTCATCCCACTGGGGGTCTGCCTTTCTGTCTTCCCCCCTGAGAATTCTTGCCCTATGCAAACATTTTGTTTGGGCTTTTTTTTTTCTCTTGAATTATTTCCAGAGGGAAAATTTCCACAAGTAGAATAATTTGGTCAAAGGGTACAGCTATTTTAATGTTTTATAAACTTTGCCAGATTGTCCTCCAGAAAGACAGTACCAACCCATAGCAACTCAAGAATGCTTCAAAGTGTGTGTTTTCTAAAACAGGGTTTTAAGAGCTTATTGATTTAACATTTGCAAAATGGTATGGGGGCTTCCCTGGTGGCACAGTGATTAAGAATCCGCCTGCCAATGCAGGGGACACGGGGTTCAAGCCCTGGTCCGGGCAGAACCCACATGCCGCAGAGCAACTAAGCCCATGCACCACAACTACTGAGCCTGTGTTCTAGAGCCCGTGAGCCACAACGACTGAAGCCCCTGTGCCACAACTACTGAAGCCCACGTGCCACAACTACTGAAGCCCATGGTCCTAGAGCCTGTGCTCCGAAACAAAGAGAAGCCTCCACGATGAGAAGCCCCTGCCCATAACCAAGAGTAGCCCCCACTCGCCACAACTAGAGAAAGCCCGCGCTTAGCAATGAAGACCCAACACAACCAAAGATAAATAAATAAATAAATAAATATTTTTTTAAAAATGGTACGGAAGTGGACTAATTTACATTTCCTTAATTATTAGTGAAACTAAGCACTTTCCTTTAAAATGCTGATAATAATTCCCTCTTATACACACTGCCTGGTCAGTGTGTTCTCTGCCTGTTTAGGAGTTTGTATTCTTTATGGGTCTGTATTTAATCTTTTTTATGTTTTATTAGCAAATTTTTATCTGTCATAGTTGTCACAATTTCTCCAATTCTAATGGTTACTCTTAAACAAAAGAAAATAATAAAAATTTACTTGAATGCTTCTGTGGTTACACCTGTCCATTTTTTCCTCGATTTTTTTTTATTACCTCAATAGTAAGTAATAAATATGTCACCAGTGGAAGGGCGATTTCCTCGGTTCTTGCCCTCTCGAGGGAAAGAATTCAGTTGAGAGACATAGAGGAGCTTTAAGGAGTTTTAAGAGTTTTATTCAGCAAAAGTGAAAAGTATACTCTTGAGAAAGGATGAGAGCGTGCTGTCTGGAAACCAGAAGCAGCACTGCAATGGGGTAGGGTTGGGTTTTTTAGATTGGTGGTCCCTCCCCGTGTCCTGCATCATTTGACTGACAAGTTGATTGACAGCTTTAGGTTATATAACTTTTCTCCCGGTGTGCAGGTGCTTACCCATAAGCACCCACTCGAAACCCATGGGGGGTGGAGGGGCAAAAACCGAAATGCTAATTTATTACAAATACGGCATAATGAACCCCTGGTTACCTTGAGCCACCTTTTAGGTCTTGGTGCGCCTGCACCAACCTGTGCTGGCAGTTTTTATCTTTTTTGGTCCTGATATAACTGGAAACCTAGCAGTGGTCCTTGGCGACAAGAGGGAGGATCTCTGGGTGTGTTCTGATACCAGTGTCCAGGTGGGGGAGGGAAAGATGACCCCTTCCAGGATGGGGTGTGGACCTGCTCATGTCTGACTAACTACCTAACATATATATATTTCTTCCTAGATTAAGATAAATTTCTTCTAAGCAGTGTTTCCCACACCAGTTTCCTCTCTTTTTTTTTCTTTTTTTTTTTTTTTGGCGGTACACGGGCCTCTCACTGTTGTGGCCTCTCCCATTGCGGAGCACAGGCTCCGGACGCGCAGGCTCAGCAGCCATGGCTCACGGGCCCAGCCGCTCCGTGGCATGTGGGATCTTCCCGGACCGGGGCATGAACCCGTGTCCCCTGCATTGGCAGCTGGACTCTCAACCACTGCGCCACCAGGGAAGCCCGCCAGCTTCCTATCTCTTTGCGTGTTAATGCATTTTCTCAAGGGGTTCTATAGTCAAATAATATTGGAAAATAATGAATTAGACAAAAACTAAACAGCTCCGTTATTATAGTACTTATCAGATCATAAATATGGTACTTTATTCATTGAGCAAAATATTTGTTGAGCACCTATTATGAGGCACTCTAGTGGCTGGGAATACAGCAGTGAACAACGAGACAAATGTATGTTGTGTATTTCCAGGAGAAGGACACAGTAGACAGATTTTCTCCAATGCATTTGAGCAACACTCTTTCTTACATCACCTATTAATCTTTTACATGATTCCACGGAATATCCTGATCTAGAATTTTTGTGGCATGAAATGAAAGACATGAATCAACTTTCATTTTTCCTAAGAGATTCATCCACATTACTTAGCAGAATTTGTTAAATGTGGTTCTTCTTTGTGTGGTTTTACTGTCCACTCACTGATTATAAATTTCCCATAATTTGGGGATTGTGGCATAATTATTTTGTTTCATTGGTTCATATTTCTGAACTGTGTATTTATGACGAAGGAAATAACTGTATCCCAAAAAGGAGAAGAACTGTCACTTTTCCCACCTTTAATTGTTGCTAAGATGAAGTGGTGCCCTTGAGCCTCAGTTTCCCTAGGCATCTGCCAGCAAGAGCCTGACATCTCTCAGCAGAAGCATGAGAGAAGAGGGTTATAAAGTCCCTGGAGCCTCCCCAGCCCATCTGGCCACCAGGATGGAGGAGTATTTGGGGGTTGGAGGGGGTGAGGAGTGGAGGAGAAATTGATAGTTATTGAGTGCTTACTATGTGCCAGTCACATTGCATTTAAGGAATATTTAAGGAGGAGGTGAGGAAGCCAGAGGAAGCATGAGAGAGCTGAAAGGAGAAAGAAAGGGAATAAAGTTTTGGACAGAGAAGTTAATTATAGGGACTATCCTGGCATGGCCAAAAATAAAAAAAAAAGAGGTTAATCATAAACTCAGCCAGGGATCTCAGTTACTTTGTTTCACACCCTGCCCAGGGGCTAAGGATGGTGCAGCATGAGGCTGGTGTGCATGTGAGGCCACAGGGGCAGTCCAGGATTTTTGGAGCAAATTTATGCTTTGGTGGAGAGTTGTGCAGATGCCTTCTGAGGCCCTTGAAAATCTGGTTTTTCTTATTCTAGAGCAGCACTGTGCAATAGCCTTTCTACCATGATGGAAAAGTTCTGTATCTTTGCTGTCCAATATGATAGCCAGCAGCCACATGAAGCCACTGAGTGCTTGCAATGTGGTCAGAATGACTTAGGAACTGAATTTTAAATTTCACTGAATTTTTTTACTCTTGCTTTTTTTTGTTTTGTAAATTTTTGAATTTTATTTATTTTTTTATACAGCAGGTTCTTATTAGTCATCAATTTTATACACATCAGTGTATAAATCGCCCAATTCATCACCATCAACACCACCCCGCCCCCCGCAGCTTTCCCCACTTGGTGTCCATACGTTTGTTCTCTACATCTGTGTTTCAATTTCTGCCCTGCAAACCGGTTCATCTGTACCATTTTTCTAGGTTCCACATATATGCGTTAATATACGATATTTGTTTTTCTCTTTCTGACGTCCTTCACTCTGTATGACTGTCTCTAGATCCATCCACGTCTCCACAAATGACCCAATTTCGTTCCTTTTTATGGTTGAGTAATATTCCATTGTATATATGTACCACATATTCTTTATCCATTTGTCTGTCGATGGGCATTTAGGTTGCTTCCATGACCTGGTTATTGTAAATAGTGCTGCAATGAACATTGGGGTGCATGTGTCTTTCAGAATTATGGTTTTCTCTGGGTATATGGCCAGTAGTGGGCTTGCTGGGTCATATGGTAGTTTTTTAAGGAACCTCCATACTGTTCTCCATAGTGGCTGTATCAATTTACATTCCCACCAACAGTGCAAGAGGGTTCCCTTTTCTCCACAGCCTCTCCAGCATTTGTTTGTAGATTTTCTGATGCTGCCCATTCTAACTGGTGTGAGGGGACACCTCATTGTAGTTTTGATTTGCATTTCTCTAATAACTAGTGATGTTGAGCAGCTTTTCGTGTGCTTTTGGCAATCTGTATGTCTTCTTTGGAGAAATGTCTATTTAGGTCCTGTGCCCATTTTTGGATTGGGTTGTTTGTTTTTTTAATATTGAGCTGCATGAGCTGATAATATATTTTGGAGATTAATCCTTTGTCAGTTGCTTCGTTTGCAAATATTTTCTCCCATTCTGAGGGTTGTCTTTTCTTCTTGTTTACGGTTTCCTTTGTTATGCAAGAGCTTTGAAGTTTCATTAGGTCCCACTTGTTTATTTTTGTTTTTATTTCCATTACTCTAGGAGGTGGATTAAAAAAGATCTTGCTGTGATTTATGTCATAGAGTATTCTTCCTATGTTTTCCTCTAAGAGTTTTATAGTGTCTGGTCTTACATTTAGGTCTCAAATCCATTTTGAGTTTATTTTTGTGTATGGTGGTAGGAGTGTTCTAATTTCATTCTTTTACATGTAGCTGTCCAGTTTTCCCAGCACCACTTATTGAAGAGACTGTCTTTTCTCCATTGTATATCCTTGCCCCCTTTGTCATAGATTAGTTGACCATAGGTGCGTGGGTTTATCTCTGGGCTTTCTATCTTGTTCCATTGATCTATGTTTCTGTTTTTGTGCCAGTACCATATTGTCTTGATTACTATAGCTTTGTAGTATAGTCTGAAGTCAGGGAGTCTGATTCCTCCAACTCCGTTTTTTTCCCTCAATACTGCTTTGACTATTCGGGGTCTTTTGTGTCTCCATATAAATTTTAGGGTTTTTTTGTTCTAGTTCTGTAAAAAATGCCATTGGTAATTTTATAGGGATTGCATTGAATCTGTAGATTGCTTTGGGTAGTAGAGTCATTTTCACAGTATTGATTTTTCCAATCCAAGAACATGGCATATCTCTCCATCTGTTGGTATCATCTTTAATTTCTTTCATCAGTGTCTTATAGTTTTCTGCATACAGGTCTTTTGTCTCCCTTTGTAGGTTTATTCCTAGGTATTTTATTCTTTTTGTTGCAATGGTAAGTGGGAGTGTTTCCTTCATTTCTCTTTCAGATTTTTCATCATTAGTGTATAGGAATTCAAGAGATTTCTGTGCATTAATTTTGTATCCTGCTACTTTACCAAATTCATTGATTAGCTCTAGTAGTTTTCTGGTGGCATCTTTAGGATTCTCTATGTATAGTATCATGTCATTTGCAAACAGTGACAGTTTTACTTCTCCTTTTCCAATTTGTATTCCTTTTATTTCTTTTTCTTCTCTAATTGCCCTGGCTAGGACTCCCAAAACTATGTTGAATAATAGTGGTGA